CCCCAAAACCCCAAAACCCCAAAACCCCATAGTTAAATTTTCTGAAAGTTTAAGGGAAACTTAATACTAAATACGAGAAATGAAGTTTTTATCTTTCATATTGTGCATTTTAATGTAAATAACTATTTTTATTCAGTGCTTTTTATAAACTAAAATTTCATCAAAGATTTATCAATAAATCACTAAAGATATAAAAGAGAATGGAGACCACTAACTATTTTCAAGATATTCCTTACCAATCTAAAATAACCCCTCAACTCATAGTTATTTCAGGTGATGATTCAGCTAAAATTGAAGAATTAAAGCAACAAGGTGTCCCAATTATAGGAACTCACTCTTAATCTTTCCATTGCGATGAAGTCTTAGCAACAGCTATGCTGCTTTATACAAATAAGTTTAAGGATTCTGCCATAGTAAGAACAAGAGACGATAAACTTTTTGATACTTTTGACATCATTTGTGATGTGGGTGCAGTCTTTGATGCAGAAAAACTTAGATTTGATCATCATTAGAAATCATTTAACACATACTGGTCTGAAAATGATACAAAAGATAATGGTGGAATCAAGTTGTCTAGTGCTGGCCTTATTTATAAATATTTTGGCAAAGAAGTCCTAGCCAACATTCTTCAGGAGGTTTGGCAAACTAGTTACACAGAAGAGAACCTTGACCAAATTTACAGCTAGCTCTATTTAGAATTTTTTAAAGAGATAGATGCTATCGATAATGGTGTGACCTTGGGCAAAGACTTGAATTACTAAATAAGAACAGATTTGAGTTATAAAGTTTCAAGATTTAACAAAGAATGGAACGCTCCAAAGGAAAAAAATGAGGAATTGCAATTTAAAAAGGCTATGAGATGTGTTGAGGAGGAATTAATGTACCAAATAAAAGCAGTCTCCCAAATTTACTTACCTGCAAGAATTATTGTCGAAGATGCATGGAAAAATAAAGATGATTTCCATCCAAGTGGAGAAATAATTTTTGTTGCAACATCATGTCCATGGAAAGATCATTTATTTGAAATAGAAGAGAGCAATGGAAAATAGGGTCTTATTAAATTCGTAATCTACAAAGATAACAGAGGATTGAATAGAGTGCAAGCTGTGGGAATCAAGGGAGATCAATTTGGCCAAAGAGTTACATTGAGCAAGAAATGGCATGGCCTTAGAAAGAATGATTTTGATAAAATTGAGGGTTTCGAATTTAAAGATCTTGACTTTGTACATCACAGTGGTTTTATTGGTGGAGCCTGGTCTATGGAAACTGCTATCAAGATGGCTGAGATCTCTATCCAAGAACATAATGAGGAGCAAGCTACAAAGGTGGCTCCACTAGCCCAAGAACAGAAGCAAGTCGAATGACCAGAGTAATAATGGCATTTATATATCTTCATAAAACTTTATCTCCATATTCATATTTTGAATAAATTTTTTTTGGATGGGGTTTTGGGGTTTTGGGGTTTTGGGG